TCATATTGTTGATGACGCTGGCAATCTTGACATTTCTTGACCATGGCAGAACCGCTAGAAATGGAAATGCGCATTCAATATTTAATCCTTGATAGCAGAACAGACATTTTTGAGAAGACCTTAAAGCATGGTCTGAAGGCAACTCTGGGTTTATGCACCAAATACATTTTCTAGTTATTCTGGAGTAATCTTTAGTTAGAAAGTTTGCAAAAGGTAAAGAACGATTGCATCGGTTGCACTTCAAAATAGAACAAATGTTATAATACAGTATTAAGAAAAGAAGGATAAGTGAACGTAGAGGAGAATTTTTTAAAACGAAGGAAAAAAATTTAGGTTTTTTCTTGCCTAAAAGGGAAAAATAGTCATGTGAACATCACGTTCAAATCACGTGGTGTCATGTGACCAAAACTGGAACGGATTTTCAAACTTTGGAGAAACTTTCGGAATAGAAATGCACGAAGTAATACTGAATGTGTAAGAATGTTAAGAGGGGTGAAAGTAATCGTGAAAGAGTGTAATTAGGGTAATTAAAGAAGAAATTAATTAGAGAAGAAATTGGAAAAAAATTAGCCAAAAAAATGTATGAATGGTTGGAGAGCAAGAGAACCAAAGATTGGAAAGAAGAACAGAAAGAAGCGATCAAAATAGAAGGTATGGCAAACGGTGATAAGCTTATCGAGAATTTTATGATTGGAGGATAAAAATAAATTGATCACTCAATTCTCCCCTTTTTTTTGTATTTGATTTGCTGAGGGATTTTTATAACTGGTTTTAAGTATTACGATAAGTAGGTTTTCAATAAAACTGTTTCCATTTTTAATTTTTGGCGATATTTCTCAACAAAAATGAAATCATTCAAAACAGTTGTTCTGGGTCAGCAAAAGCAACAAGTCCCCACCTCCTGGTTTATTTAATTTCTATCTCTCGCTTTCTCTTTCTCTTTCTCTTTCTCTGGTTCTCTCTTTCTCTGTCTCTGTTTCTCTCTATCTCTCTCTCTCTATACCTTTTTCTCTAAATTATTCTTTCTTGAGGAAAATCGACAAAGTATTTAAACCCCTAAATTTCTCTATCGTCGTCTTATTTTAAATCTGAAAACACTTAACATCACATCTCAAAATCTCAAAGTTAATTATTATACACCAAACAGCAAGAGCAAAGAATGCCAGTTATTTGTATGATATACAAACCGTTCACATATAACTCCTTTTCTAGCAAATACTAACATAATGCAGTCCTTGTAATCCCCGTATCAGTAAAAGTCGCAGTTTGTGTAGTCACCCTCGCAGCCACCGTTGTTGTCGCCGTTAGGAATAATGAAACATTCTTCATAACTGCAGAAGCAGTATTTGAAAATGGTGCAAGATATTGTCATGATAGAGCCGAAGCAATCAGAATGGCTCAAAGACAAATTCATATGGTTGAAGAATATCAATTGGATAGCCATGACTATGATGAAACTGGTACTACTACTGGAGCTACTAGTCGAGCATCTATAAGTGATTCTGAGGTTGTTATAAATGCTGATTCTGTATTGAGTGAGTTTACTGAGATTGATAGTTATGAGTATGGTGAATCAGTAATTAGCAGTGATTAATGATGAGTATTATCTAATGTTTTATTTTTGTTTAAGCTGGAGGTATTGAATAGGGATTGGGAATATTAAAGGTATAAAGGAAACGGGATTTTACTTATTGTGTTTATTTAGTTCATTTACATATTATTAAATTAAAGTATTAAATTATTAAATTAAAAGAAAATCGTCGTCGTAATCTGTCTATCACTCAGCTTCTTCTTCTCCCTGTCTCTCTCTAACTCATCACAGCCAATACGATAATCAACACGAGACTATATGACTAAGCCAATTAGGAATTATCAATGTATGTACTGTATGTCCACGGAAGGAATCGTATACGATCAATCCTATTGGATATTTTACTTGAACTGATAGTTTAAATATGGCTGGTTGATCTTACCCTAAGAGAATGAAGGAACGAGTGAAATAAATGTGAAATCAATTTTGTGATATTAATTAAGAATAGGCTGCAAAAAGAAATAAACAATAATGAAAATGAGATTGTTCTTGTTTCTAATTTAAGAGGTGAGTAATAATAGATATACCGTATACTTAGCTTCTTATAGTATTAATAGTATTTGTGCAACCAACTTCTCAGATATTATAAAATCAGAGTTAATTATCACAGTTTTCTAATGAATAGTAAGTAAGTTTTTATTGTATGTAATATTTTCTTTATTAGTTTGTTTGCATGGTTTCCCTCTCAATATTTATTTAAATGATTTTATTTATAATTTCATTTACAAATGATTATGAACTTTCAATTTAGATTAAAACATATATGAATCATTATATATATATAAATATCTTCTTATAGAAATCCAAAATATAATTCAAAATTAAAAAGCTTTATTTAATAAAAAAAAGTCAATTGAATTTATATAATTGGTAGTTACCCATTTCTGATTTTTTCTCTCTCTATCCTCTTTTATCTATTCTACTTAATCTGTCTCTATCTCAGCCTTACTTAACAAAATGTCACATATTTTTAGTAATTTTGTATCTATTATTAGACCACCACCACCACTACCACCACCACCAGCAATAATGCCATTTGTGAGTATGTATCCCTCTACTATCCGTATATACAACACATAACCAATACAATACTAACACCCTCATGTTTAGTCCCCCTTTCAATAAAAATCGCAATTTCAATAGGTGCAATCACCGGTGCCACAATTGCCATCATAAACAACAAAGAAACAATCCTAACAACAGCAGAAGCAATATTTGAAAGTGGTGTTAGGTTTTGTCATGAGAAAGTAGAAGAAATAAAACTGGCTAATAAACAAATGCATATGATTGAACAATATCAATTCAATGATGATGGCACTGCAACGACTGCAACTACTACTGGATCTAATAGTAGAGGAAGTGATTCTGATGAACCAACCACTCCCGATAGTGGAATGAGTGAAGATGAATCCTTTTCTGAAAAAGGAATGAGTGAGTTTACTGAAATTGATAGTGATGAATATAGTGAAACTGATGATTTTGATTAATGGAATAGTGGCAAATTATTGATTATTATTATTAATTAGGGTTTTTATTTACACTGGAGGTATTGAATAGGGAATGGAGTATGAAGGGATAAAGGAAAGGGAAGTTAACTTATTTAGTTCATTTAAATACTATAAGTATTAAATTATTAAATTAAAAGAAAATCGTCGTCGTAATCTATCTATCACTCAGCTTGTTCTTCTTCTTCTTCTTCTTCTTCTTCTTCTTCTTCTTCTTCTTCTTCTTCTGTCTCTCTCTAACTCACCACAGCCAATACGATAATCAACACAATAATACAAAGAGCCACAAGCAAAATACACCCCCATTTCCCCCTTGATTTCTGATATTCATGTGCCTTCTGTAATTCCCGATCGGCTTGTTGAGTATTTCCATGTAATTGCAATACATTATCTTCAATAGTATTCAATTGTGCACCTTGTTCTTGAACTAATTGATTCAAATCTTTGAAAATCGAATTCACCTCTAGAATCCCTTCTGTAACTTGTTCAATTTCTCGATTTCGTTCTTGGGTTAATAAGATATGATATTGTAATTCCGTCTTATTGATATTTTCTTCTTGTTCTTGTATTTGCTCTTGTTGTTGCCTTCCTCTTCCATTCTCATTCTTATCCAGCAATAACGGAGTCAGTTCATTTATTTTCGTCTCCTGTAATTGTGATTGTCTAAGTGGAGTCACTCTTCGCTTATCATTATATATCCGGACAGTTTTCCTAAATTTCCGATCCAATTCATTATATTCCCCCATTAATCGTTCCTTAATAACAATCTGTCGATTACTTATCCCAATCCCTGCTCCACTCCCACTATTTTTATTTATAACAACATTCAAATCATTCATCAATCTCAGCACCCCACCTGACAATTCCATCACTTTTTCAACCCCAACATCGATATTCTCACGCAATTGTTGACAATCTCGTCTAGTCCCGAGTTGTTTTCGTTGGGTGTCGAGTTGTGTTATCAATTGGGAGAATAATTGGAGTTGGGTTGAGGTTTTGCAGATTATTTTATCCAAGTCATGACTACTGGAACTGGAACTGGATTGGGCAGAAGCTCGTGAAGGAAGAGGGGTTTGGGCTTCGTAGTCGAAGTTGGCGAATGACATATTGTTTGCTTGTTTATTGTGATGGGCTGTGGATGGTATGGGGTGTTAAAGTTTGCCATGGAGTTGAAATGGTGGCTGGATTATCTTTTTTTTTGGTGATGGTTTAATTAGGATTCCTAATTTGGAAGGTGTCGTCAAGTTGTAGTTTTCCAATTAACTTTTTTACTCTTGGTGTTCTGTTGCTGATATAATCATTAAACTAGTAACCTTTCAAGTAGTTGAAGGCTCTTCTAATAGAGATATTGATTTTATTGTGAATGTTGATTAATAATACCTAAGCCCAATTTTGGATGATTTGGCAGGGGTCCCCAGATTTTCTTATCAAATGGCATTGATTGCCGAAGGTTTCAAATTAAGGAAACTTCTCTAATTTTGAATTTAGAGAAAGTTACCCATTCAAATTAGGAAACTCTTTAGATATCTTATATCTTAAATTGATATCTTTCTATTCTAAAAATTTTAATTATCCGATCTGATCTTTCCTTGAATTGTTATTCTTGCATGTATTTTAATGTACGATTTCGATATCAACTACTTATACTATACTAGGGATCTGATAATATGTAAATCAGTATCGTATTATACTGTTACCTATATCAATTCTAGGAAATCATTCCTTCGCGATCTTTTAAAGTAAGTTTAACAAATAGTTATACGTTCGCTTGGTAATTAGAGTAAGGTATAAATTGCAACCCTTTTTTCTTGTAAATTAATTGCAAAAAAATTGAACTAAAACAATTGACACCCTTCTACCAATATGCAATTATCGAAAAACTTAGCTATAGTAGTATTAGCGTATTGTACTTACACCTCAGCCAATCCGGTAGGAACATGCACAACTAAATCCAAAAACAAGCAAGTTGCATCAATCGCAGGTAAACCCCAACCAATCCCCGGTCAACCCATCAAACCACCACCTCCCGCAAAACCATCCCCATCCCTTGCCCCAAAACCAATTGTACCACCTCCAAAATCAGCCACTCCATCCCCATTCATCCCCCCACGACCAGCCCCCAAAAAGGAAAAAGTCGACGACATTGACGTCCTAATCCAAGCTCTTACCCAATACAAACAACTCTATCACACTTCCCACCATAAGAGAGACCAAGTGGCAGATTTCACCGCCATGACTGAATTCATTGCCACTTCAGACATCCCCGTTCTCGACTCCATCTTGTCAATATTAAATAGTTCCGGACTCGTGAATTCGATTATTGATTTGGTTTTACTTAATCCCGAATTGTTGGATATGACGATTGATACTACGATTTGGATCATTCGGGAACGATTAATCAATTTGACGGATTTGTTTATTGCCATTCAGAAATCGGGATTGATTATTGATATTTTGAGATTGAGTCTTGAGGATCCTGATATCTTGCCCGGATTATTACGGATTGGAATGGAGTTGTTGAGACAAAGTGGGATTAATATTTTTGGAAAACGTGATTTTGAATTCGAAGTTGAATCTCCATCTAGCTTTCCAGAAGAGATTAGCAGTTCTAGTGCTGTTGTTGTTGAATTAAACAAGCGTGAATCAGAATTACTCAATTCCGTATTTCAATCCCTCCGAGACTCGGGACTTGCTGTTTCAGTTGTCCAACATATCCTCACCACTCCTGAACTCGCAGGCCCCAATGCTCATTTCTTATTGGAAGTATTGCGTTCCAATTCATTGCCAATTGGTGATTTATTCCAAGCTTTGAAGGAGTCCAATTTGATTTGGAATTTGTTGAGAGATATATTGGGAGATCCGAGTGTATTGCGGGAATTTGGAAGTATTATTGCTGATCGGTTGTTGAAGGGGTTGATTCCTATTAATATATTTGAGGCTGCTTCTGCTGGTGGTGATGTTGGGACTGGGACTGGGACTGGGTCGGCTGCGGCGATATTTGAGGCTGCTTTGGGGGTGGTTGTTCCGGTTTCTGATACGCCTGTGACTCCGGTGGGAACTACGACTGCTACTACTGCTGTTTAAGTTGATGGTTTGATTTGTTGAGTTTGTCTCTTTTTGTTATATATATATAAGAATTACATTTGTTTAGTTTAGTTTAACATATCTTACATAGTTTATAAAATAATTAATTTTTGATGTTTGCAATTTTGCACCCAAATTTTTACTTTCATAGAGAGTATAAGAAAACCTTTTGAATTACGGCAGAAAAATGAAAAGAAAGTTCACTTTTTAAGATTGGTCGTACTAAGTCATTATGTGTCTGAAATCTTTCAATTTTTCAATCTATGACTTGCTTTTTGTTGACTCTAGGATATAATCATATGAACTTGTCTATATGTCTACCAATATAATAATAGTGAAAATGAAACGCGTAATTACTTTATTTATTTTTTTGTGCAATGTTTAAGACAGACGCGTATTAAAAATTCTGATTATTTTTTTTTTGTCGATCTCGATTTCAAAATTCAATCAATTCTTTAATTTCTAATTATTCTTTTACTTTGCTTTAGTTTACTATTCTCCTGCTTACAGTTTATCCATCATTTTATAATAGAAGAATAGCTAAAGATGCTGTCAAAAGCTGCTAAATTTGCTAAATTAAAACAGCTTAGAGAAGCAAGAAAAACGGGTAAATCAATCTTACCACAATCATCAGATGAAGAAGATGATGCTGCTCTTCTTGATAATGCAGCCATTTATGATGAAGTCGATGAAGACACTTATAGAAAACATAAACGTAATCAATTAATGAATGATGATTTCATTGTGGATGATAATGGTGAAGGATATGTTGATAATGGTGTTGATGAATGGGATGATCATGCCACGAGACCAAATTATTATTCTGATGAAGATGAAGAATTGGATACTGGGAGAAAGAGAAGAAAGAAGGATCAGAAACCTACAAAAGTGGTCAAGATGCAACAGATTAATAGTTTTTTCAAACCGGTGAATAGAATAAATCCAACTAAGAAAGTAGATGCTAATATTGATGATATTCTTAATGATTTTCAAGATTATGATGATGATTTCCCAAAGAAGAAACAAAACAAGAAGAAAGCTTCAACAACAACATTTGGTAGTTCAAAGATAAAGAAAGAACCAGTTAAATCAAAAGTAGTTTCTCCATTTGATTTCTCAACTGTTGCCCCTAAAACTGCTACTACTAAAAAAGCTCCATTTGTAGAAGATTTCAATGCTTCAAGTGATTATACAATGGATATGGACATCGACATTGATAATGAACAACCTTCATCTCCAATTAAACACATTAAAGATGAAACTCCAGATACAAGTATTGTTAAAGACCAATCCACTTCCAAATCCCCGGAACCACAACAATCAACAAAGGTCGAATCAGAAGAGGATGAAGAAGAATCTGAAGATGAGGTGATATATGCCAAAAGACCAAGAGCAGCTGCTGTCAAAAGGGACACTTTCACTACAACAATGTCTGCAGTTAAAGCTAATGATTTGCCTTCTTCATCACCAACCAGAATTACTTCTACTTCATTTGCAAACCATACTGAAAAATTAAATGAAACTTCAATTGTTGATTCTGAATCTAATGAATCATTTAAAATGTTTTGGTTAGATTATTGTGAAGTTGATAATACCTTATTATTATTCGGTAAGATCTTAACCAAAGAAGGAAAATTAGTCTCGGGGGTTGTTCAAATTAATGGTCTTTGTCGTGAATTGTATTTCTTACCCCGGAAATTTCGTTTCGCTAACGGTGAAGAAGACCCCAACGATCCAATTGATCCACTTGATGTCCATGACGAAGTCACTCCAATCTTATTAGAACAATACAATTTAGAAGAATTGAAAGCAAAACCAGAAACAATGAAATATGCATTTGAATTATCCCACATCCCCAAAGAAACCCAATATCTAAAAGTCTTACTTCCTTACAAAACTCCCAGAAATCAACATCTTGTTCTTCCAGCCGAAACAGAAGGTGAAACATTCAATCACGTCTTTGGGACCAATACCAACATCTTCGAATCATTTGTTAGTCAACGAAACGTAATGGGTCCATGTTGGTTAGACATCCATAATGCCAATTTTGATGCCATTCAAAACACCTCGCATTGTCAAGTCGAAGTCGCTATTGATTCACCATCCCAAATCACCGTCATTAGTGATAAGCCACCCCCACCACCCGATTTAACCGTGACCTCAATCGCGGTCCAAACTGTCATGAACAATAAGGATAATAAACAAGAAGTGGTTTCTGTTTCATTGGCAACTTATTATAATTTACCCCAAGATGCACCAATTGATGAAAAACTCCAACCGAATGAGATTATGACATTAGTTAGACCAGTGGGGTCGATTAGTCTTCCACCAGGGTTGACTCAATTAGCTTCGAAGGATGGATTTCAATTACGGACTTGTCCGAATGAAAAGGTTTTACTTAATTGTTTGGCCGCTATGATAAAACTGACTGATCCGGATGTGTTTATTGGTCACAGGTTGGAGAATATTTCGCTTGATGTGTTGGTCCATCGTATGCATGATTTGAATGTGACGACTTGGTCGACATTGGGGAGAAGAAATCGAAAAAGATGGCCTCAGAGTTTTGGAAAATCAAATAATGGGGGATATAATAATAATCTCTTGATCAGGGAGATATTTCAAGGTAGGTTGTTGTGTGATGTTGCCAATGAGATGGGACAGAGTTTGACGTCAAAATGTCAATCATGGGATTTATGGGAGATGTATGATGTTGTTTGTCATAAGAAACATAATCCAATTGAAATCAATTATCAAAACCCGAATTATGGAAACGATGCTAATTTATTAATGATGGCTTTGAAGGAGAATGAATTCAATGTGAAAATTACAGCTGAAATTGCGTTTGGGATCCAGATTTTGTCATTATCGAAACAATTAACTAATATTGCTGGGAATGCGTGGAGTCATACATTGAGTGGTACAAGGGCTGGTAGGAATGAATATATTTTATTACATGAATTCAAAAGAAATAATTACATCGTTCCTGATAAAGAAGATAAAACCCATAAAAACACATCATATCAACAAGACGCCAGATTGGAATCTCATGAAGATGATTCCACTACTGTCACATCAAACAAAAAACCAAAATATCAAGGTGGTTTAGTCTTCGAACCCGAAAAAGGTCTCCACAAAAACTATATCCTAGTTATGGATTTCAATTCCTTATATCCCAGTATAATCCAAGAATTCAACATCTGTTTCACCACCGTTAATAGAGACCGATTCAATACCACACATGATGAAGATCGCGATATGCCAACCATACCAGAATCCGACACCTCCCAGGGTGTTCTCCCTAGATTATTAAACACCTTAGTCACGCGTCGTCGTGAGGTCAAGAAATTACTTAAAGACCCCTCCAATACCCCATTCCAACGTGCACAATACGATATCAAACAACAAGCTCTCAAATTGACCGCGAACTCGATGTATGGATGTTTAGGTTATGTTAATTCCCGATTCTATGCCAAACCATTAGCTATGTTGGTTACAAACAAAGGTAGGGAGATTTTGATGGATACTAGACAATTAGCCGAACTGGCCGGATTGAGAGTTGTGTATGGGGATACTGATTCGGTTATGATTGATACTGGGTGTGATAATTATGCGGATGCGATTAAGATTGGAGAAGCGTTTAAGGTGCAGGTGAATGAACGGTATAGGTTGTTAGAGATTGATATTGATAATGTGTTTAAGAGGTTGTTGTTGCATGCGAAGAAGAA